AGTTTAATAAACCAATAACTCTTTTATATTGTAATTAAGTTATTGGGTTAAATATTTCTAAAGCTCTTTGTACTAAAATAATATCATAATCTTGAGAGCAGTTAGGTTTCTATTTGAATAAGGTTTACTTGAATAAAACAAATAAAACAAATAAAGCGAATAAAACGAATAAATTTGAAACCATGCATTGATATTAAAATCAATAAAACAACAATAAATAAACGAACAAATAGCTTTTATTGTGAAATAATTAATTTTGTTCCTTTGGTGTTAATGATTGAATCAATCACACAAGTAGCATATATTCAATTTAAACAGCATTGTTTTTAAAGAATTTATTCAAATAATATCATTAAATGTATAAAGTTTAATGCTGCAAAATTTTTTTTTTGACTAGTCCAAAATCGATCTTATTTATATATTTTAAAGTTTCTTTATTGATAAATAATAAATCTATCCTTTGCTTATTTGTTTTAGTAGATTCAAATAGATTTTATTAATCAAATGATACGCTACAGCAAAATTTCGGAGAATCAATTATGCAAAAACACACATAATAAGTATGCAATACTGTAAAATACACTACCCGGACAAGTTTGTGAACGATGTTTTTGTTAATTACACAAAATGCTACATAATAAGAATACATAAAATTTTAACATTAGATGGCCTAGGTTCTTGTTCGTTTTCATATAAGATTTGGTGTTTTTTTGTATTTCCAGTATTTTTATTATTGAAAAAAAAAATTTTCTTTTGAAAATTGACTAATATCCAGTGGGCCACCCGTCATTAGAAATACATGCCTCAATTATTCTTGGCGTGCTTTCAATGAGTTTTTCTAACTTTTTGTGAGGTATTTTAACCATTCTCTTTCACTGCAACTTTCAATTTTTGGATGCACTGCACGTTTTTTTAAAAAAATTGCCGATCACGATTTAGGTCTAGAAAAAAAATAACAAATAAATAAAGTATTTGAAAATCATATATACGTTTTATAATTTTAATATTTTTATTATGTAAATTTTTTTAAAAAAAAAAATACAAAATACTGCAAACATTTTAAAATTAATAAAATATTGGAAATACAAAAAATATCAAATCTTATATGAAAATGAACAAGAACCTAGGCCATCTAATGTTAAAATTTTACGTATTCTAATTATGTAGAATTTTGCGTAATTAACAAAAAACATCGTTCACAAATTTTTGTCCGGGTAGTGTATGCATGCAAAATTTCTTGTTTTCTGATTTTCTATGTCATTATTATTATTGGTCATTCGAAAAGAAAAAAGAAAGATATAGATAATCAACTTTTGCATGCATAATTTATAGGGCCTAGTACTAGATCACAAACCACATAGTCCCCGTTATTCTGTTTAAAATTAAATTAATATTAATATTAGGTTTAGCAAAATTTGGTTTAACAGGGTTTTTCAGATTAACAGGTTGATTACATAGTGTGTACTTTATTATGTTAATTCCAAAACAAAAAATCTGTTTTACTGCTTTAGAAATAAACAATAATTTTATCTAAATTTATTTGTTTATCTGTTTTAAATATGTATGTATATAAATACATATACCAAAAAATAGGAGTTTGGCACTGCGCAAAAATTCTTTGACCGGTTAATTAACCATTAATAATACATATTTGTGGATAATCATGTATTTTTCCACAAAAAATCATCTGCAAGGATAACACGCACCAACCCACCAATAAAATTGGACATTTTCATGATGCTGCGCAGAACTTCCAACAGTTGAACACATCAAAAAACGAAGACCAGATCTATATAACAATTGGAAGTGTCCTTTATGTAAGAACCAGCTTGGATCATTTGAACATATTTGAACCTGTACACAAAATGTACAAAAAATTAAAGAAATATTATACATATAATGCAAAAACTCAAAAACCAAACTTATAAAAAATGTCCAAAAAAAGAATAAGAGTAAAAAATTGTCATCAAAAGATTTGGAACATGATCACCTGTGGTTTAACAATCAGAATGATGCAACTTTAACAGCGATTGATTTAATCAAAGGCATTGTTCCAAAATTTTTATCTGACTCAATCAATAAATTTCTCAATAATAGAATGCACACTAAAGAAATTATAACTAATTTTGTCAACAAACTTCAAAAAGAAATTTTAGAAAAAATATGTGTATTGCTGCTATTTGTCCTGCATCCTTATCTAAAATAGGTAAGATACCCTCACATCTCAGCAATGAAAAAAATTCCTTGAGAACTTTTGCTCGTGAATTGGTTCTATTTTTAGGATCTTGAAGGTGATCTTTTGGAGGTATGCAAGAGGAATACCATGTCTGCCATAATTTATTAATGCCACAAAAAGCTCAAGTTTTTCTTGATTTGTTTTAAAAGTAGAATATATAACAATTTCATTGATTTTATTTTTTTCTATATAACCATTAAAAGGTGTAAGAAATCCAAGTGTTTGTACAAAATCATTCTCAAGATAAAATATGACTTTATATCCTTCATCAACTAATTCATTTTGCTTCAAGAAGCTTAGCAATGAGAGAAGTTGATTAGATGCATTTGTAAGATATTGTTGAGCAGAAAATTTTGAAGCCCAATAATACACTTGGCAATAAGTATGTACTTTCAAATTAATAAACTGTTCCTCGCAGAGCCTTTTATAAACCTCAACTTTTCTTAAGTTTAGATTTTTTGATATCCATGCTATGGCTCTTTCAGGTAATTTATTTTCACAATAATTTGGATGTTCGTGTGTTATTAAATGTTGGATTGTGACTTTTGCGTGACATACATTGATATCAATATTAATTGTAATCTTTCCCTCACATGCATATCAGTCAATTGGAGGTCTTGCTTCACTTCTTCTTTTTGCTGATTGGTAATCTGTTTGTGTGGATGACTTTTGATCTATTCTTTGGGCACAACCAAGATACACTGTTGTTTGTTGAACATCCTTTTTGTGAAGATAAATCTCAATAATAACAAGATTATGCTTCAATGGGTAAGAGAAAATGATAAATCAAATTGCGAATTCTGTCTTCTTCAGTATCATGATTATTATTTATTAATTGTGAATTATCATCAATCAATTCTTTTTCAAATTCAAAGGTTCTCAAAAAATTTACTCCTCCATTTTCTTCAGCATTTGTAAAATGTATAGTGACTAGTTCTTCAAATTCAGCTAACTCATACAGAACACTGTCTTCATTGTCATTGTCGTTGTTGTTGTTTTCTTCTTCTGGATTAATGTTTACATTTTGAGAATATTTGAGCTGGATTAAAGTTTCATCACCTTCATTTTCAGGTATCAAGGACCTTTTCCCTTTTTTCTTTTCTGAATATAGAGAACTTTTCTTGGTTTCTATGGAATCGGATAAATTCACTGAGTGTTTTGCACTTTGTACAGCGGGAGCATAGCTTGTTTTGAGAGATGTTGATTAGAGGCCTGCACGGGTCATCATAATTGAATGATTACCCAACCTGAACCGTATAAATTTATAATTTGCAACCCGAACCCGACTTGTACACAAAAAATTCAACCCAAACCCGAACTCAACCTGATTTTTAACAGCATTGTAACACGATTTTATTTAAAAAATAACTTTTATTGCAATTGTTAGTTACAAGTAAGAAAATTTTACTATAATGAGCTTCTTTATACAAGAATACTATCAATTGTTTGTGTATTTAAATTTGAGCAAAGCTCATTAACTGTAAGTCCAGCTGCACTAAACTCTCTTTCACCAGGTGCACTGGAACATATAATATGCGATAAACATGTTGATAATCTTTCCACCATTCTAAAATATTAAAGTTATCATCTTTTCGTATTTTTGTTGATAAATACAAATCAACTTCATCTTTGTCAATAAATGTTTCGCAAATTCACCCTTGAATTTTACCCTGGGATCTTTTTTTTTTTGAATTTTATGTATATTTGAATTGTTGTTCATATCTGAATTTAAAAGATCTGATAAAAAATTTAGAAACAATCTGTAATAATGTTTTTCGTATCAATTAACAAAGATAATATTCAATAAATGATTTAAATGTTCCTTTACGCATTTCCTAATGCTTGTCTCCAATATTGATTGCTTTTAGTTTCACATATATATCACATCTTGCATATGAATTTTCCTGATTTTTGGTAGAAGCATACTTTGAACAAAACGACAGATTATTGACAGATTATGAAAAAGCAAGTTTAGTACTATTTATTTCAATAACGAATTAATTTTTTTTAAAAAAAAATGTGACATGTATATGACGAATAACATCTTGTAAATTCATTTGTAACATATATGAGTTGATCTGAGAATCGACATACCGATATAGGAGAAGAGATGGGGAAATTTTCTCAACTTAATATCAAGCGCCAAACGTAGTACAGATTCTTATATTAATATTGATCGCTAATCAATGTTCCCATCCTTTAATATGCAGTTAGTTGCTTTGTTTTGTTAGGCTCCTTTAAGTAATCCCTCCCTTCACCCACAAACTACTTTTTAGTTTAATAATATTCATCTTTCTTGTTATACTTGATAGTTTTTTTTTTGAATTTTATTGTAGTAATGAAATTTTTAAAGTTTCTAAATATACTAAGCAGTAACCCTATCCTATATAAGAATAGCTCAAGTTTTTTATTAATCCTTATTTAGTTAGAATTTAGCAATAATAATAATTCGTTTTAAATGATTTTCTTATATGGTCCGTCAATCATATGCAATAGCACGAGTTTTTTAATTATTTTTCAACGATTAAACAATTGATTCGTAATCCTGTTACAAAATATGATTAGAAATAAAAACTCCACACTTTTGCATTATTTAACCTTTTAGCAAATAATTGACAATGTTAGACAACAAAAAATCACTATTCCAAAAAACTTTACTGTTTTTCTCATTTTTTTTGATCTCATTGTTATGTAAAAGTTTTT